CTACTTGAAACATACACCAGGCGTCATTAGCTTTATAAGACAATACCTGTGTAACATAATACCTTGGTAAAGAATAGACACAAACATGTTACATAAGCATAGCATACGTTTTGCCTGAATTTTTTATCCTTTTACCTGAGAAAAACCTCTACGGGTTCTTAGGTAATTGAGTTCATATTATATTATGTTAAAAATTTAAGAAAATCTTAAATACAAAATCTAGATAGAAAGAAAATTTTGTACTTAATACTTGTATCGAATTATTGTTTCTAACTTTTTCTAGTTTGTGGTTTTTACAAGTATTATTATCAGTATAACTATCCGTTAATGTCCCATAGATAAAGGTCTATTGGCCTATCAAATAGAGACATAGATTTAGTCTCCTTTAAAAAAATCATGCATGTTTCCGTGAACAAATAAGCGTTCACCACTCTCCTTACCATAGATAGATTAAAACGTGAATAATGGCAAAACAGGGAGAGGACAAACATATAAACGCATTTTCTCATTTACGTATATTAAAATTTTTGCTTTCATTTATCTTTGGCAAATGTTGACAATGCTTATTAGTTTATAGTTTTTTATAGAATTTTTTTTTATAAAAATATAGAGAGATACAAATCACTTTAATTTAGCATTGTCTACTTAATCATTAAAACTAAGATAATGTTATTACTAGTTGATAAATTACTCAATATCATTTGATTATCATCCTATTGAAATACGAATTTGAGTTATAAAAAATGTAACAAAACAATTTTAGAGAATTATCCATTTTTGGATGTAGTCAGGAATGAAAGAAAGCTCGAAAGCAGAAGAAAGCTCACGCGTGCTTTAACTACTATGAATGTACACTGTGGGTCCGTAGGTGCCAACTCCCCCAATTGTCACCTACGGATCTTCGGGATTTGGTGCGGACCGGGGCCTTGAAGGACGTTGACTGCTTTTAATCGTTGGCTGGAAGCTTCCAGCCACCAATCGTTGCATTCTTAAACGAGGTCATATAGAGGAATAGTTAGTTCTTTGATTATGTGTGTTGTCACTATGTGTATGAATAGAATATATATTAGGTGATAGCGGAATACTTTCATCCCCTTCCTTGACTGGGCCTATGAGGAGATTATGCGGTCGAAGTCTCTGAATCGTCTCGTTAGGGTTCGGTTCCTAATTTGTTCAAAGTCAAAGACAAACCGACTTTATTCAAGATAGGCTTATTTTAAACTCTTATTGAAAATAAAAAATCTACTACCGGTTCACTAAACCTCATCAGAGAAGAAACGGCAAGTCACACTGCGGTCTTGTTATCTATTTAGAACGAGCATTGAGGAAAAATTAAACCGTTAAAAAAGCGCCCCTCTGGCGAACATATAATCACTGTATGCTCTATATATATGCTGAGAACAGTTTACTATTTACTAAAAGTGAAAATGAATTGAACGCGGAAGTGATAATAAGGTTAAATTCATTACGGTTTATTTTATTATATGTACATTTAAGAATTTATATGTGTATTGTCAAAACTATTGCAATATAAAGTGTTATTAGAATTAAAATGTTTTAACACATTCAAACGCCTCTCCTTTATTAAAACAAAAACATTCCTCCTAATTACCATGGAACTGCAAAGTCAAAGTAAATTACGTAACATGCAACGAAATAAAAAGTAATGTAGAGACTTTTTTTAAAAGCTTTCACATTTCCTGTACCCGTACCGTACCTTACCGCATTAATTTCCAACGATGAGGAAAGCAAAACGAGGATCCTTTATGGGAAAAGCCAACATCCCTGAATATCTTCTGAAAGAAAAAAAAGAGGTTATTTTTAATTGGTGGGACTGACGCAGAGCAAAAGCGAGTATGCAAAAAATAATAAAACGAGTGTAAAAAGTTAATGGAATTTTGCTGTTTATGTTTTAATGTCATAGTATGCTTAATACAAAAAAGTGGTGCCAAATAAATCTGGTTGTTAGAACTATGAAGGCAAGAAAATTAACATAATGCGCTTAGTATGTACTTTAAATTGGTTTTTTTTTCTTTTCTTAAATCTTAAAACAAAAAACATAAATTGTTATTGATAATTACTTAAATCGCAATTTAATAATTAGAACAGTTCGTTAGCTTTTTTTGATAATGCAATCGTTACTGTAATTGCTCTTTATCTCGATCTTTTCATATTAAAAGTTGTTCGATAAAATTAAAAACTCTTTTAATGTTTTATATTTTTGTATCTTTAATTCTAATTTCCTAGACCGACACATCAAGTCGTCAAGGTTTTATTAAATGCAGGAAAATACACATACTCGCAGAAAACTGCTGTGAGTACTTTTCAGTCGCACTAAACCAAGAAGATTTCTTTTCATGAGTAAGTATTTCGATTCGACTGGTATATTAAATCATATAAATTCAATTTATTAAAAGTAATTCTTCCAGCGATGTGTGGTGTCCGTATAATTGATTTTCATTTACCGCCTGCCAAATAACACTACACACTCAGTAATAATATCTAAAACTTTGAATATATAACGTGATTGTTTATTTTTAAATGAAAATTATTGAGGGCACCGGGAGTAGAAATTAATATTGATGAAAATGAAATGTTGGAGAACGTAATTATTCTGCACATTTTATAAGTTAATATTAAGATATATAGATGAAGAATAATCTTTTTGTTTATCGCATGCTCAATTTCATTTTATTACATTTTATTATCCATATCGTTAATATTTTATTGTATAAACTTATTAACTTACACATGCTATCCAACTTATGAAAATAAAACAAATCAATGTAAACAAAAACTTTCCCATCTCAGCTGTAAAATGTACTTATATGTAGTTGTATGTACTACTTTACTATCCCTTTGTACACACAATTATACTATTCACAGAATCAGTTTTTACTTACAGTCTAACCCTCTATAACACATGTTTATGTGTTCATACGAAATACGAAGTTCATGTTTCTATTTTTAGTAAATTAAACATTTTCAGACAAACAAGAACATTGAAGTAGTAAAATTTGTTAACAAAATGTAATCTCGTTATGTAAACATGAGAAAAAAAGGGATAATAGTGATATAGGGATGTTTTATTTTATATTTTAGCATTCAGGCGCTTTGCCAAAATGCGTAGGCTTAGCAATTGTTCACGTGGATTTTGTGTTAAAGTGTCCTTCACTCATACCAAGGACCAAACAAAAGTTACATGGAACAATGGAACAATAATGACAATTTATTTTTTGGATGTAAAAACATATTATTGCCATGGTTAGGCGTAAAAGTGTTTGGGCGCTTGCTTTCAATTCGATATACTCGAGCAACTGAGTTTGAATCCCGGTGCCGGTACCAATGCAATTTTTATTTTTAAGTGCTGACTTATCTCGTGTTCAACGATGAAGGCAAACGTAGTGAGGAAACCTATAAAATATGTGACGTCCGTCAATCTGCAGTAAGGTCACATGGTAGACTATACCCTAATAATGTCCTCTGAACTGAGGAGGCCTTATAGCTAGAGGTATTCTATTCCTTAAATAAAGGGAAATATAAATTGATTTAAGGATATGAACACTAGATTCAATTGCGTTCTATGAATCCTATTATAATGTAGAAGAATATATTACGGACAAAGATGTGCTGAATTGACTCTTGCTCTACACTAGCAATTCCCCTGACTGCTGATCCTATACTTAAATGAGTTTGTATAATTGTATCTTAAAAAAAAAGAGATAACAAATCTTAGAGTTTCTTGCCGGTTCTTCTATGATCAGAACTAGTTTAGTATAAAGTTGGTAGTTTTTTTGACGTTCAATAAGAGCTTAAATTAAAGAAATTTTGACTTTGAAATAAGACATCAAATACACGCGAATATGAAAAGGTAAAGATGTCGTATACTTCTATTGGTTTATTAAATTACATATATACAAGACCCACGCCCGGTTTCTTTATCATCGTAGAGGTCAACTAATCAGCAGTCAAATGACTTTTCAAATGTTATTTGAGTCCAAAAGGATTGTTAAACTCTTTGAATTGATCACTCTGATCATTAAAGATATCATTCTGATGATTCATCATTCTGACACATTTTTACACAACGTTCTCTAGTCCCAAACTAAGCAACGCTTGTACTATGGATACTAGATAACTGATAAACAAACTTAAATTTACTTTTATTTAGTAAATATATAAACACCCAGACGCTGGAAAAACACCATGTTCGTCACACAATATTTTTCCATTAGTGGGGATCGAACCCACACCCTCTGGCACAAGAGGCAGTTGCACTACTTACTACGCCATATAGATCTGTAATAAAATTATATAAAACTTGTTAACTTTATAACGTTTGCTTTGCAGTAATGCTGAACTAAAATAAACAAAGCAATATACTAGTGGCATAGAAATTTTACTTCAGTCCTTTATTTTTCGGTAAAATACTGAAAGCATATGTTGTAGTATTGGTAATTGCAATTTAGGTGAATCAGTTAAAGTTTATTGATATTTCCTCTATATTGACTTTTACATAGAATTAAATTTAAAAAATCGGTTCTACCGCTTGTCCACAAGTTCTGTTTTTAAGGGAATAGAATGGTAATGTTTTTGAAAAAAAAAGTTTATTTTTATTGCAATAAACGATTATACTACCGAGTCGAGTAAAACTGTAGAGTCTACAATAACACTTGTAACTAAATTATGGACTCTACATTTTTTAACCGTTATTTTAAATGAAATTTCAATATATATATATATATATATTAATTGATACCAGAAAACGTTTCATCCTTCATTCGTTTAGATCAAATTAAAATGCATTGTTCACATAATTATGCTGTTGCATTTTTTAATGATTCTACTTGTTTCTTTTAAGAAATGTCTGCGAATTCGCTTCAGTAATTATTTACTAATAACTTTATAATTAAATTTTATCAACGCTCGTCTTAATGATTATGCCGCGAATAATTATAATTACGTTAAGTGTGTATAATATTGGCGTCCTTTTGTTCCAGTGCGGGGCCGCCGATTGGCTCGACGGCGGGCTCATTTCGCTAGCTGGGGCCAAGCCCAGCCAGTTCATTCACACGAGGGCCGGCCGAGCAACGGCCGCGTGTGGTATGCGCGCGCGCACTGTGTCATGACTGTGACACACTTCCGCGCGCTCGAAACGCTTAGCATCGCCCGAGGAGCGACAACCGGCCCTTAAGCGGCGTGCCAAGTCTCGATTTCGATCACGAGCGATTCGTGATTAGTCGCACGGGTGCCGCTCGCTGAACCGCTGGCCGCAACTAGTGATGCAACCATCGCAAACCTCGAGCGCCGGTTGTGAACACTAGTCAACATTCCGCATTCAAATTTGACGCCGCCCGACTGACTGTGACTGGTCACTGACAGTACCGTTGACGCGCAAATGTAAATAGTAAACATTCCGTGTAAATTGATAAGTTGAGTGTGTTTCATTGAAAGTGCAGCTGGTGCAGTGCGAAATGACGTCCCGCTCGAAGGAAAAGGTTGCCGCGGCATTCCGAAAGCTGTTTCGGTCGCCGGAGAAGCTCGATAACGACGGCGCTGGCCCCAGTGGGTCTCCAGCCAGGCGGGGCCTTCTACGCCGACACAGGTACTTCATTTTTACTGCTTCGATGGAACTCAAATAATGACAACAAACGCTATCAGCTTATATACTACTAATTACTAAATGATTGTAGACTTGCCTGCGCCAACTTTACACCAAAACCTATTTATAAAGCAAAGAGATACACATGTGGTCGACGGGAAGAGAATTGATCTTCAACTCCATGAACGTGGTGCAAATCATACACAATGTAGTATGATAGTAAATGTTATCGTGAAATAAAATTCAATAAAATTCTAACTTCGAAAAATGGCCAGGAAGTGTATTCCTTTTATGAGTGTTTTCTTTTCTAATATGAACTATATATTCATCATTCTGCTAAACTCGTTACAAATAAACCATTTATAGCATATAAACGGTTTGTATAAATATTAAATAATGATAATGTACAATCACAACAGTTATTGTTTACGTCCAAATCGTTGTCACAATTATCACGTAATGTCACCGCAACGTTAACTTTAAATAAATAATATTTATTAAATAGGCAATTAAGACCCGTTGATAGTATGCTATCTAAATCAAATTGCCTTTTCCACGAACAACTGGAAAGAAATTTATACTATCCGTTATAAAGCTTACATAATAATTAGTCTTTGATAATAATTATAGGTTATAACTACTCGACATCATATTACAAAGAATAGTTTTAAACAAGGACCATGAGTATGGTTAATTAAACTTACATTGAATGTTAATTAAAATTTGCCTTCTTCGTGGGCAAATGACTTTTACCGTTTCGAAATACTTTTATTTAAGTTCAAATTTGTGATATTTTTTACGTTATTCAATGGTTTCAAAATACATTTTGTATGTTCAATACATTTGTAAAATATGTTATTCAATGTATTTTTATACATGGTGTACCTACGTTAAAATTATATGTCAAGTTCCCCTACCCTGTCATATAATTTGTCACTTTTGCCCATAAAAAATATGCATGATAATATATCTTCATTTCAATATATAATTCGTAGAACTCCTCAGAACCTTTCAATTCATTCTGCCACGCCATGAGTAAATATTTAGACAACAGACAACAGTTTGGTGTGCTATCAAGGGGTGCTCTTAGCGTATTGTGCTTGAACATCACGCCGTCAGGTGAGCCACCTGCAGTTTTCCACCATCTCTATTTCATTGATTAATGATAAACGGCCCATATTCAAGATACACGGTTTTATTTCGCATGCAAGTTAGATAATTTCATTTGAACCATCATACTTTAACGTTTCGTCTGGTAACTGATAACTGAGGTAACCAGGGCCCACTTTTTTATTGGTTGGAGACGCATCTGCAACCAGTGTTATCGATTTCTATGGATGACGGTAGTCACTTAACATCAAGTGAACCGCCTGCTAGCCTGCCAACTTTTAATATTAAAAAACTACCTGACTCGCTCAGTCAGTATATCGTGTAGTCTCACTCCTTTTCCTAAACGATACATCAGTTTGAAATAGCCTCGCCATTCTAACAGATTTTGTACCTCTTAGCAATCAATAGAAATCTCGAAAACAATTTACATATTAATGAATATTTTACCATATTCTTCCGTAACAAAACAACACATAGGGTAATCTTTATTGATCTGCTGATATTATTATTAAACTTACACCCGGTCTCTGAAACACTGATCATCGTAGGCGTTAACTAATCAGCTGTCAAATGGCTTTACAAATGTCATTTGAGTTGCCAAAAGTATGGTTTCTCCCTGGAGTTTTAACTCCTTTAATTGATCATTGATTAGTTCTACAATCATCAGTGTTTCAGAAACCGGGCGATTATCCTCCTAAAGAATTAACAAAAAATAACAATGACAATAATTTCGACTTGAACTACTGTCAAGTATGTATTTTCCTACCATAAAACCTAGAACTATCGCAAAAGAATAATAACCAAAGGAAAAACACCTTTTATTATTTACTTAAAACGAATACCATATAAATATTATATGCCTACCTATTGAATGACCCAAAAAAGAAAACCGATAGAAACTTTTTCACGGCATAGTCGCTAATAAAGAAAGCAAGCATTACCATTACAGCAACACGTGGGCAAAAAACGCGTCTCTACATTTTCTTTCAATGTAAGAATTGGAATCCTAACAAAGATGTATACAATCTTATCGCTTCGCTGCAAACGTCGCACAGGGCGCTAAGATCACCGAGGCGACCACAAGGTTGCTTTGGGCGACGTTGCCTGTTTAGCGTGACCATCTGCGAAGACAAAGACATTGTTTACTCGACGCGACAATTGCTCAGCGAATGATGGGCGCGGAACAGGTCGACCTCAACATGTCTCGAGTTAAAGTGTGACATACTTCGAAAGCTATATTTATCCTAACGCGTTAATTAGCACCACGAAATGCCTAATGTTTTCGGAAAAGATTAAGTGGTCGGCCTCACATTTCTCGTTTGGAAGCTGGCAGACGTTTTCCAAAAATGTTGGTTGAGAATTTATTTAATATAAATTTTCGAGTTTGTAGGTTAGTTCTAAAAGACTAAATAATAAATAATAATGTTGATTGGAATATAGAGGGGCAAAATAAATTATAAAATTCAAGTTATTTTTAATAGTTTGAATAACCGCTTTTTTTTTTGTGGGACACATTTTTTACAAAACGTCTAGTCCCAAACTAAGCTACGCTTGTACTATGGGTACAAGAAAACTGATAGACATACTTAAACATTCCTTTCTTTTGTAAATAAATGCACAATATACATATATAAACACCCAGACACTAGAAAAACACTATGCTCATCACACGATATTTCTCCAGTAGTGGGAATCGAACCCACACCCTCTGGCGCAGAAGGCAGGTACACTACCCACTACGCCATTCGGGTCGTCAACTTTACTTTGTGGGCATTGTAATAATTTATTCATTTGTAAGCGTTCAGTCCACTACTGTATTTACTTTGTTCTGAGATTTCTTATCGATATATACGCATTGTGAACAAACCGTAAAAAGTTTATTGATCTACATTAATGTCGATGTATTATTACGAAATCTCATATAGCTACCAATACTTCGTATATGTAGCTATTTATTGAACATAACGCTAATCGAAGGATCCAAGAGACCAGTTATAAATATTTTTGAGGAGAATTTTATCCTCTTAAGATGTCTCTACTACTCGAATAGATCAGCATCACGTGCTAGTGCCTTTGTTTAACTCTCTTACCTCACTCACACAAGTAAATATAAGTGGCTTTGTTTACCTCTCTCACACAACAAAATATAATTAATGCTATCTATAGTATCTTTTGTCAGAATAACTGCATAAATATAATAAGAACCGACATCCATTTTCTGTGTCGTGGTCGATTTGGTCGCTAATACAATACCAAATTTAACGCAAAATCTTATGTGAATGACTATAATAATATAGCTTTGTTGCTTTAAAGTATGTTACTCATGTTAGTATTAAAATATATTATGATGATTAATGTTGATAGTGATACGGACATTGGCGCGACAAGCCGGCTAGACATGTCACATGGAATGGCGAACTTCAGTGACGTATCGCTAGATCACTTTCACCTTACGATTTACGTGTCGATCACAGGGAAAAAACCGGACAAGTGTGAGTCGGACTCGCGCACAAAGGGTGCCGTACCATTATGTATAGAATTTCTATAAGATAAAGAAATGTTACGGAAACGGCAAAAAAATCATGTCTGTTGTATGAGAGCCCCACTTAAATAGTTTTTATTCTGATTTATAGTATTTTATAGCGGCAACAGAAATATATTAGCTGTGAAAATTGCAACGGTCTTAGTATCACGGTTCATGAGATACATCCTAGTGACAGACGGACAGACAGATAGCGGAGTCTTAGTAATAGGGTCCCGTTTACCCTTGGGGTACGGAACCCTAAAAACCGATAGATTCTTAGTTTATGAATAACAGTTCTATGAATAAAATTTACATAAAATCTAGAATGCTGATTATCACATATTCTTCCTCGTTGTATTTAGCTTATTATAAAGTGAGTCACTATTCATTGGACTGTGATACTTTTATTCTTTTATGACCTCGTTATGACCCGGTTATGTTCTTACGGAGACCATAATAATGTAATCATCGTAACTGATGGAACCTAATTATTTTAATCGTATCGAATAACACTTGTTGTACCTATGCAAATTTATGTTCCTTTCCCGGAAGTCAATTATCTATAATATGACATCTATTATAATGTTTATTAGATATGAGTACTACCCAAATACGATTATTTTATAAGCCTAAAATACCAATACCTGTAAGTTGCAGATATAGTACAGTGCTCTCAAATCTTTTATTCGAATAGGCACTAACTATGCAGCCGTTCCCTCTTATAAATAAATTGGATATATCCTCATTGATAATCTTTGTATGGTGGAAGGAAGCAGTTTTACGGTGCCTTGCGTATAGCAATTTAGCGGATAATAATTGTTTGGCCATTGTAGAAACGCGTTTATTTTCTTACGCAGATCTACTACTATTTTTAATTTAAGAAAATAGTCTTTATAATGCAAAGTAGATATGTCATGAATATTGAGAAAAAACTACATTTTTCCTTCTAAAACCTTAATACTAAATAAGTACAAAACGAAAAGGACGTTGAGTTACTTGAATTCTGATAGGTCATGGTATCGTCATAGTAAAAATGTAATTTGATCTTACTATGTAATATAAATTATTTCCTGAATATTAAATCAAGCAAAATTTTTAACGCCTGCTGGAGATAATATTGATATATTAATTAAGTACTCGAAATTTGGACGTGATATCAAAAAGAAGAATAGAGGTAAAAAATATCACCTGTTTCAAACTGCACATATAACATGTTCGCAAATGATCCGGATTCAAAACTAGGACAATGATCGGTTGAGCGTTTATTGCGTAAGCATTATTAATTCCTTTGTTCTAAAGTAAATACATAATATGAGAAATTTAAACGTATTTGTATAACTGTTTGCACTATCTCCTCGCGCGCCTGTCTGCTTCGTAACTTCCAGGCCGCATTAGTTTTCTTGGGCAATGCAGATCCATTCTACTGTGCATTAAATAAAAAACCTTTTTATTTAATGCACAATTTAAACAATCGTGCCAAAACATATTTGATTAGATATCCATCCACCAGCGTATTTAATTCTTCTCAGTTTGATACTCAGTAGTTAAGAAAAACTATAATTATTCGATACAAGTTAATCTTTTTCACACGTGTTTGACCTATGACCGGATGGATATGGACCGGATAATTGAAAAAAGACCTAAATTTGTGAAGTGGTGGTGAATTCTAACGTTCGATGCCACTAGGAACAACGATTTTATAATCGTAAAACCGATATTGCAACTACTAGGCTATCTCTAAGATGTTGTTAATTGAGAATCATAAAATAAACAAGTTCTTATGTCTTCAATACTTGACGAAAATGACATAGCTTAAGCTGGGAATGTATGCTTATCACAGCTATTTATAATATCCTCAAGATGTACTAAAAATAAACATTTTAAGTGTGCCTGTCGCCAGATAAGGAAAGAAAACTCATATTCATTAGTATATTTAATATAAACAAAACACATCATAAATAATCGATACACGTACAACAACGCCAACTAATCCATAAGGGTAAAATAAACTTCCACGATACTTATGTACACTTTTTTAGCATCGATCACATCCGCACATTCCTCAATACTCAAGCCATTCAGTACAATAAAAAAAACAACTATGAATTTTTTCGAATATCCACTTTATCACATCATTCATTATTAATTTATCAACGAATTAATAAATTTCGCGATTAAAACAAAAGAGTGCGTTATTTAAAGCGAGGTTGTTTAAATCATAAATAGTGGTAACTAAAACTCATCAAAGTTAAATATGGCCATGAATTATTCTTATTGAACTTACAAACGTATTTCCGTATTATCTGACAGAATCCGGCTGAACGACCAACTTTCACCCAATACGTAACATAATATCACGCTCGCCACCCGCGGAGGTCATCTGTCTACCAGGGGTGGCCAACTTTTTTCTGTATATATAAGATCTACTTTTTAGCTTACGGAAGTGGCACTTAGTCAAAGAAGGGTTAGTGTCCAAAATAATTCCATTATTAATCGTTTAGTCTACTCGGCTCCCATGTTAAAGTATTAAGAGGGACCGACCTTAATTAAATGATCTATCGGTCGATCGTGTTCGACTAATTTAATATCTTTGTTCTTTATAATAAGCATTACAAGATGCAATCACCCAAATGGATGCATTAGTCACACATGTTTCTCCAACCGTTCACCGTGCGTGACACGTCATCTCTCAAATATTGTCCATTATGTCACCGTAATCTGACTGAACGACGCCGCAAGGAATCTGTTATCTCGTTTAATCGCAGCTTTATATGTCTCTTTTCATTAAGTTACGAAGTTAAACAGTCCTAAGCTCAGTGTTAATGATGGAGTTATTTAAGTTATATATATATCGGGGAAGGAAGGAAGGAAGAAGTATTTCGTCGTATGAACGTGTATATATTTGTGAAACTGTGCTTAGATTATACGACGCATATCAAAGGTATTATAAAGGATTTTGACAGAATCAGCATCGTGGCTCGTCCTTTTAGTTTCCAAAAGGATAAGAAGACGCATGTATTGATAAACGGATAAGAAGGCTATTTTACAAATTCCTCTAGATATTTTTAAATTCAACTTGGTTACTAGATAAACGTATAGGGTGGTCTATTATATGTTAAAAACGTAATTCGTAAGACTCGATTACCATAAATCTTAGGGAAGGTATTCCGTATTAATAATTCTAATGATGTTAGAATACAAAGTATGACCAAGCATCCCACGCAGTGCGTAGGCATACGTTGTTTAGCGTAACACATTGTTACAAAGTCAATCCTCTACGAATAAGTAAGATTATAAACTACAGAATCTACTATTATATTACTACTAAGCAATATTTTTGTCCATATGTAGGTTTAGATCATTTCCATTAGTAAATTATTTGAATGGATAGAAAGACATCATAATACAATGTACATCATGTACAAAGTTTATGTGAATGATTGTTATTTTATATAAAATTAACCAACTAAAATCTACATTGCCAGCAAAAACACATAATTATATTAAACATATTATACTTAAACGTATTCAAAAATATTATGATGTGTATTCAGCCAAAATATTGAGGATTCCGTGACCGAATGACTTCAATATAAATTGCCTTATTATTCGTCAAAACCGCGCGGACTAGCTTCCAGCCAACTATTTGGTAACTTATAGGCACGACATGGTACGAAGGCTGAACAAATAACGAAAAAACAGACGTTCAAATGTTAAACATGACGTGTTATACGACGACTTTGGGAGATAATCATTGTAATTGTTTTTAAGACATCTTAAAACAATGGTTATAGGCGACATAATGACAACACCGGGCATTGTATTGGTAACTTTCCATCTCAGTCATGTATAAATATCAATTAAGTCTTTGATGTGAATATATTTGGCATTCAAACGTAAACAAATTGTTCGAAACCATACCGCTTCGAGAAATGAGTGTCCCTTTTGCACAAAAACTCATTTCTCGATGATATACTCGGATAGAACTAGAAAGCAATATTTGCCATCTAAATCTTCTAAGTTTTGAAGATTGTTGCCTTTTCAAATTTCAAAGCCTGTTAGCTGCTAACCTCGTAATTTGAATGCTAGGCTAGATCAATCCGTAGAGCAAGAGATATTAATACAGCTGGTTGAACTAGCCGACTGAACGCAATGCAACCTACATACATATTTGTTAATAAATCATAAACATCAAGTAGATAAATTCACCCAAACATATGTGAATCATAAAATTCCGATCTCAAGGTTTTTATTGAATTTCATTCACCTATGAATGTCTGTACACCAAGCGTAGTGCATTTAACTTACGATTCACGCCAACCCCGCGTAATACAATACAAAACAAAGAAGGTTTACATAAACGCGCTATTACTCAAGTACGGCGAACAATAAGAGAATGGCTCCTATGAACATACTCAATAGTATTGACTGCAATCAACATTGTACTTATATTTCTTATCTATATTAATTCAATAAAGTTAAAAAAAATATCTAAACGATTTCAGATAAGGAAGATGTATTAGTTGTTGCATATATTATATTGCACACATATATGTGTAACAACTAATTCTTACATACCTACATATTGCACATATACGTATATAATATATGTATATAAAAATTCGCTGTCACAATGTTTATCCTCTGGAGCTAGTGGTAAAATTGTAATAGAGTCCAGAAATTCATCACGCATTATCCAAGCCTAAGCCTGTGGCTCTAAATCGTGCCCTTACCAAGCCTGAACTTGATAATAAACACCGATAAACCAATAATGGGACTGTATTGAATAGTTAATTATGATTTAAATAAATACATAATAAATTTAGACGCAGTAACGCGTAGCCGGGTCAGGTAGTAATTAATAACTAATACGGGCACAAAGAAACTGTGATTTTTGCACGTGAAATAACGGGCGAAATTTTTTTGCGTAAGACAAGGTGCAAGACGTCCTTGGTTTCAAAGCCCTGAAGCGAGAAGTAAAATTAAATAAAAGACTGCCTAAAAAACTATGTTCAATGAATATTAACGGACCTGCATCAATTTGCAGAGATGGGGTAAGCCCCGCCGAAGCCGCGGTAAGCCTGCCCACAAGTCCTGGAGCCACCTCCATGGCCAAGAAGAAGTCCAGCGGAGCTGCCGAGGCCCGGGAAAGAGCGGCAGCCGTACGGACGCGCAGACTTATGAAGGAGCTGAAGGAAATACAGCGACTGCAGGAGAATCGGCCCGACCCAGTGTTCACCGTAAGCACGATACAAAAACTTTATAGAGAAAAGAAAGATGATGATTTTTTCAGAATTATGTGCCACTGCTGGTCAAAGGCCTCTTTCGTGCATACAAATTAGGACGCCCACTTCGAAACTTTACTGCGGATTGGAAGACTTTACATGAATACTATGTAAAGTCTTAGCTGGAGACGGTGAGAACCACCCTGGAACGCGAGTGTACCAGCTACACGCGTTGTGTTGGTTTCACCGTGCTCGTAGACGAGGACGAACTAATGGGAGGGATTGGATTCCGTGGATTAGAATTTGAACTGGGGTTGCTCGAGTATACTAAATTAAATGCGGGCATTGAGCTATCACGACTTTTACGAGTTTTTTTTTAAAATAAAGGTAGATTGATTTCTAGTTTTTACGTTTTCATTTTAAACATGATTAAATGAAACTATGTTACGGATTTTATCGCGGTTTATTTAAACTCCCGATGTTTCGAACTCTTTACAGCGTTCATAGACAAGGGACAGACTGAGTCGTTTAGGACGTGCCTAATGTTACTCGGGTTAACACCATCAATTGTTGTATGATCTATTTTATTCCGATCTAGATCCGAATAAAATATCCGTAGTAAAATAGTTCGTAGCCATGAATAAAATTATAATTTGATGGCAATAAAATATGTACCACCATGTAAAAAGAACATGTTAATTAAAATGTTTCGAAATGATGAGAGAACGATATTAAGATATTGATGTCTTTATCTTTGAAGAGCTGTGATAGCTCAGTGTCCGCGCGCCTTTATATATACTCGAGCAACCTGAGTTAGATCCCGGTGCCGGCACCAATGAAATTGTTAATTTTAAGACCTGATACTCTCTGTACAGAGCAAGCCTTTGCCTAGCGATGGAACATATAGGCTGTTAATTTACTTTTTTCTTTTCCTTTTATTCTGTCAAAGTAACCAAATGGTAATAGCAATAGTTGCAAGTTGCAGTCCTATCGTCATCGATTCACATCCTTTTTTTTTTTTTTATAAATTAGTAATCAAACGGATGTTGTGAAATGTTCGCATTCTACGTTACAGGTTGAATTAGTAAACGACAATCTGTTCGAATGGCACGTCCGGTTACACCAAATAGACCCGGAGAGCGACTTGGCGGCGGACTTGCGAGAGCTCCACATTCCCAACATATTGCTGCACCTAATCTTTCCGGAGAATTTCCCGTTCGCTCCGCCGTTTATGCGGGTCATTGAGCCCCGGATAGAAAAGGGCTTCGTTATGGAAGGTAAAGTTATAATAAATTGGCATACATATATAGATTTATACTTATCGAGCTTATATCTGGCTTAGTGGCGCGTGGATTCGATTCCCTCACGTATTTGTGTGACCCACAGATAGTTGTTTCGCATCTGGGTTTTGTCCGGATGAAATTTATGTTTTTAAAATGTCCTTACAACACAGGATAATTTTATCCTAAAGTAAGGCCAATGTTCAAAATAAATCTTTCTATTTCCTTTGTTACTTGCATTGATTACAAAAAGTCTTTCATTTAATAATTTATCTTTACATAATCTTTAAATAGGGCAACTGTTACACAGCTGTAATAGTTCGTAGGAATATTTATTTTTATTGTTAAATTCAATAAGTTCTGAGTTACATGTTTGAAGCCTGTCGGCAAGCGCAGCTGGCTATCAAATACTTCCCGAATATTAATAAATACCGATATATCACCAGTAGTAGTGCTAGTGTTTAAGTTCTCCGATTTCTAGATTTATTTCGGTCGTGGCTCCTTTACTGTGCCATAAACTCGACAAATGAATTACCACCACTACGATATATGTATATAAATACTAGCTGCTGACCGCGACTACGTCTGCGTAGATGCGTCTGCCTAAATTTTCATTAGGGTTTTATGTATCTTTGTACGATGTATCATAAAAAAATAAAAACAAAAAATTTTATATAAAAAATAAAAAAAATTAGGTAAAGAAGATTAGCGTTTCGGCCGCGGCTTCGCTCGCATTGAAGCCCTTAAATAAATATCTTTCAATCCCTCTACAACATTGTTTTCTAATTAAAAATAGCCTATTTTCTTTCTCGGGCTTTAAACTATCCGTGTACCAAATTTCATTTAAATCCGTTCAGTAGTTTTTGAGTGAAAGCGAGACAGACAGACAGAGTTACTTTCGCATTTATAATATTAGTATGGATTATGCGTAGAAGTGGATCAGTTGGCACACCCCTAAATCAATTTATCTTCTCATAACTTTTGTTCTCAAAGAACTATTAATATTTCCCAGGCCCCCGAGGACTGTACCTATACTGTATACTGACCTACAAAATATTGTAGGTAATGATGAAAGAATTTTTGGTTAAATGAAACTACTTTACGGATTGTATTGTTTATCATTTTGATTTTAAATTCCCTAAGATTTATTGTTTGAAACGTCTGTAAAATCAACATATAATGCGATAAAGGTAAAATAACAGCCTTTATATACCTATCTCACGTCTGGTCAAAGGCCTTCTCCGTACCGAAGGTATTAGGTTAGGTCATAGTCCATCACGCGGTCATAGTCCTTCACTGCTGAGAGCACGTGGTAAGTCGGCACTTAAAATATTCAATTTCATTGGTGCTGCCACCGGGATTTGAACTCGCTCGAGTATATTGAATTAAGAGGGCGCCCGGACTAAACCACTAATTAAAAGTGAGCTATCACGACTGCGCAATCGCGATAAAATCCGTAAAACGGATTAATTAATTTTTTTTCGATAAACCTTGTCATACAGGTGGCGCTATATGCATGGAGCTGTTAACGCCGCGCGGCTGGGCGTCGGCGTACACCGTGGAGGCGGTGGTGATGCAGTTCGCGGCGTCCGTGGTGAAGGGGCAGGGGCGAGTGGCGCGCGCACCGCCGCGGCCCTCGCGCGAGTTCTCCCGCCGCCGCGCCGAAGAGGCCTTCCGCTCCCTCGTCAAGACCCACGACAAGTACGGCTGGGTAACGCCCGCGCTCTCCGACGGCTGAATGCGGGCGCGTCATTCGGCAATAGCGTAGGTTCCGTCACGAGTCAATGCCAACGTCATCGGCCACTTTGTGGAGAATGTTTAAATTTCCATGTGCTTGCGTAAATCGAAACGGTCTGATGTTTCTGAGCGCGATTATTTTTCTCTCAGTACCTAAAACAGTGCTTTATAAAGCCCTGCAAAAGTTGTTCAAGGTAAAACTATTATTAAGCATAAAGAGGGATTGAAAGCAAAAGTTGTAAACTCCGCATATTTTCTCTTTGACGTTCAAATAATTACTCATCAGTACCTATATTGAATCTGTCTTTTTCCAATTCTTATTAAAATATTGTGGTTATTACTACAACAGTATTTAGTAATAATAAAAATAGTGCTATTGTTACGGCAATTTGATTTTTAAATGCGCATGTACTTAGTTTAGTAGAATTAACATTATGGATGTATAACTCGATGATTTTTAATATAATTTAGGAAATGATAAATATCTCCATTATTTTCTTGTCAAATGTGAATTTAGTGTAAGATACGAATATAAGACCCAGCTTAATGCTAAATTATCAACTATGTAAATAGACGTTTGTGCCAAAACCTGCTCATTTGCTTCGATGTCTTTATTATATATATATATATATATATATATATATATATATATATATATATATATATATATATAAACATGTAATCTAAATACTGTATCTATTTCACAATCATTTTTATACCCCTCTTGAAAGTATACGCAAAAAAATCCTATCATTCCGTTAGAAATACCTATATGATTTTGGTTTAAAAGGAAAATATTTCCGTCCCAAAGTCATTTAACATCATTTTGATAGTATGTAAATATACGTTTTATAGTATGTAATACCATCATTTGACACCCTATAATTAATAATGAAATAATTAAAAGAAATGCAATTAAAATTATATCTATTTTTTATTTATTATATATCACCTGGAATTAAACTAACTATAATTTGATACTTCGTTCTAAACGTATGCTATGTGTACTTTTTTATCTCAATTATAATTCCAAGAGTAATAAATGCTCAAATTAGTAAATAATTACTACTTGGAAAAAGGCTTGTGGCTACATTTTAATGTAAAATTATAGGTATTTAATGTAAGTAAATTTAGAAACTCGATGTTGTTATTTTATTTAATAAACCAAAGAAGTTTATTTTTATGTAATTCTGGATTCAGTGCAAAATATGTATTTATACATGAATTAAATGTACAATGTTATTGATGTAATAAATTACGTGCTCAAATCCCGGCTTTTAATATAAACATTACTAGATGGTATTATAAGAAACTTAAAAGTACTGACGAACAATGACATCATCATCATTTCAGCCTGTTTGAGTCAACTGTGGTAGGGCCACGCAGCAGTTTTCAGTGTTATACGAATGGGCAGGTCCGTCCGGGTAATTACCACGACCTCACAGAAGACCGGCGTAAAGTTGAAGTATTACGCTTCTGCGTTTCGTCTGATGAGTGGTGTTGCAAATGTCCATGGGCGGCGGTTATTATTTAACATCAGGAAGTAACTCCACCTACACTACGATGGCCAACATGAGCCTCGAGACCTTTCTTCCCCATCGGTTATCGGTTGCATTTGCATCTTGAGCTTACTAAATCCTAAAAAAAAATATTTAATTCTCTTAGCTATGCCGGTAACCTTGTGACGTATAAAATGCAAGCTAATTAATACAAAAGACCTTTGTATAAATGGCTGGCATTTTATTAAAATAAAAATAACTTGCTAAGAGGGCTGTTGGATAAGTCGTTTTAAAAAATATAAAATATGTGTTTTTTTAAAACAATTTCTCAATTTTTAACAATTTTTTATTTGTCAACGTAGTCTCTTTTAAGGGCCAAACACTTGTTTCAGCGTGTTTCAAAAAATACGTTTTGTCGAGGTCTTGAAAATAGCTGTTTACTCCTTCGATGCAGTCCTCATTTGTCAAAAATTTTTGCCCTCCAAGCCATCTTTTCAGATTTGGGAATAGGTAATAATCGCACGGAGCTAAATCCGGCGAATAAGGAGTACGCAGAACCAGCTCGAAGCCCAACTCGTGGATTATGGCCATTGCAATAGCTGACGTCTGAAATGGGGCATTGTCTTGATAAAAGAGGACTTTCTCGGGATACAATTCTGGTCGTTTTTCCAACAATTCGGTTAATGTTCTTGACCGACCACGTTTAAAATAATTTATCCAGTTATAAACAGTCTGCAACATTGGTGCGTTAGTACCATGAACAGAATCAAGTTCAGTTTTTATTGTGGCAGTACTGCAACCCTTCATAAAAAATGTTTTAAAAGTAACAACCTATAAATGTCCCACTGCTGGGCTAAAGCCTCCTCTGTAAAGAGGGTATTAGGGCATAGTCCACCAGATAGATAGACCCCTCTGCGGATTGGCGAACTTCACATACTTTCGAATTTTTTTTTATTATTATTTCAAAAATATGCAGGTTTCCTCTCGATGTTTTCCTTCACCGCCGAGCACGTGATAATTCAGCACTTAAAATTAACAATTTTATTGGTTCTGGCACCAGGGATCGAACTCAACCTGAGTTCGATCCCCGGTGCCAGTTGTAAAGACACGATTATATATATATATAATCGTGTCTTTACAATCGCGACAATAAATGAACACACATATAGAGGAAAACTTTTTAAAATTTTAGAACATTTACATTCTTTAAACATTTACAGAGTTATAAAATTTTCCAAAACAAAGAATTTTAGAACACCCTTACTATAAAACGGTAACGTAAAGTTCATTTATAAAGGTCACAAAGCATATGAATGGGTTGAATGGATTGAAATTATGGATTTTGTTTAACGTTAATATTTTTTATGATTATTAGCAAGTAGCGTTCAATGTGTGTTCATTTATTGTCGCGAAGGTAACGACACGCTGTATATATATATATATATAGCTTCTAAACGGCTGGACCAATTTGAATGAAATTTTTTGTGTCTTCAGGACGTCAGTCGTGTGTACAGGACTGTCTGTTGGGTCCGCTAGTATTAGTATAAATATTACACACAATTAGTTTTGTGCTTTCAATAAAAGTGGCATATGATTATTGTTTTTCAAATTTTCCATGTTGCAGTTGACACATTTACGGAATAAACTAATACCACAAGCTATCACTGATTACTCCATCTGCAATGCATACAAATATATTCAAATTACATGTATGTAGACTTGACTTTATAAAATAAGCTCTATAATTATTTTTCAGAACCCAATTATAAACACATATTCCCCATTATTGATTTCCCATTCCACCACTAAAGACATGAAAAAATATAACACTTCTGTATGTAACTTATAAAAAAAAAACAATACAAAATACAGTATAGTGCAACTTACGGATGTTCACTTATATTAGTATATGTAGGTATGGGGAGGGGATCTTAGGAACCCACTGAGTGGGAAGAAATTAGTTGGAAAGCTTTAAAATCGGTAATTTTCGGGATGGAGGGGAGAGAGTAGTGCCCCACCACCCTCTAGGTAGGGCAACCAGTAGCAGCTCATTAGCCTTTGCGTAACAAAGTCACGGCCGATCATACTCCCCTGCGCACTTCTTGGCTGTTGTTTTCTGACTGAAAACACTCTAGGGCAAGGACAGACCAAGCCCATGGAGTGTTGGGGTTCACAAAGTCTGAGGTGTGAAATATTATCTTTTTCATTACAATGCTATCGATAATTCCAAAATTAATATCTTCGAAACTATTCACTTCCGACAGTTGAAATTTGGCAAATGGTTTTCTTATATTAGTATCCACCTACAATTAAAATTACAACATCCCAGGGTAATGGTACAGATACAAGTGTCTAGGCCAACTACAGTTAAATAGTTCATTAATGCATACAATGGATGTTTTTTTTTAATATTTAATTGTATTCATTTTATACATGAAATGAAAGTTTAAATTAAAAAGTTATAAATATGAGATGACAATTAACCACAATCACTTTCCCCCTCGCAGCGCTAATACAAGATGAAGGACTGAACCCCCTTGCACTTTGTAATCCTGGGCTGTCTTCTCATCATTCCTATAAAAAAGAATAATTTATAGATAACATTACATACTTTTTAAGTTTAATACTCCTATACTTCCAATACCCTCCACAATATAAGAAATTAATGAAATCAAAATCTTTTTCATTTAATTTCTTTTTAATTATTATTTGTTATTTTCAAATAATTATATGTATGTGGGATATTAAAACTAGTCTAACACGCGTAAGCTTTGATCCTTACTCGCAGCTAGTTTTAATTCATTGTAAATAATAATAATATATAATTAAAATATATACCCACATTTGTTTACCAGAAAAGATTAGCCGCTGTTGTTGCGGTGGAATGCCTTCTTTTTCTTCTACTCTTTCTTTGATCCTCTCGACCTTATCTGTAGGTTCTATGTCTATCTCAATCTCCTTGCCTGTGAGAGTCTGCAAAAAGGTTAAATGCAAAAATTTAACCAACAAAAAAACAGAACTTCATCACATTTCGGCAAGTATAAGCTGTACCTTAACTTTTATTAACATGTTGACTTATTTCTTAATTGAACCTTATTTGAATCTTTACACTACAATGAAAATTCGGCAAATAAATGTAGTAAATAACTGTCAATGTCATAAGTCATTAACAATTTAACATTGGCTTGCCCAGTGTTATTTTAAGGATTGTCATCTCAGATTTTTTTATACTGTTGCCACAGATAATTTTGAGCGTTCTGCCAACCACAGTAAAATGTCTAAAGTGCTAATTAGTACATACATTATTTTTAGTTAAGTTTACTGTTAGTCGGGAGCTTTGTCAGTTTCGTTGGTAAGCCTGACGGCAAATGATTTTCGGGCTCAGGTGAACAACGTAGCTTATGTACAACGACGACACGATGAAGTCTTCCGGTCTACTGCATCTCCCGACCCTTGTCGTCGAAAGATGGACAATTTTATTAAGTGAGGTCATGACATACTCCAAATATCCTCAGACCTAGGAGTACGAACCGTGAATCGCCAATTGTAAAATAATACAAATAGCGGAAGGATAATTTATTACACAGAGCATCTCTTCATTTCAAGTCAAGTCAAAATATCTTTATTCAATACTAGCTGGCTCGGCAAACGTTGTTTTGCCATATAAATTATTTCTAGAGGAATCGGAACGCACGCATAAAATTGTTGCTATTTCGATTTTCCATGTAATTTTCCCTTAACTCTCATCGTTTAAACCTTCCCTGGACTGCCACGAATATATTAAAACCAAAATTAGCCAAATCGGTCCACCCGTTCTCGAGTTTTAGCGAGACTAACGAACAGCAATCCATTTTTATATATAAGATAGGCTTAACTTAAGCACTTATTGGACGTCAAAAAAACTACCACCGGTTCACTAAAGAGAGCTGAACAGAGACTTCGGCAAGAAACTCTGCGTTCTAGTTCTATTTTTTGTTATTTATTTTTGTGATTCAATTAAACAAACTTATTTAGGTATAAAATCAGCAGCAGCCGGGGGTCTTGCAAGTGCAGAGCAAGAGTCATTTCCGCACATAGTTTTCCTCAATGTATTCTTGTACATTATAATAGGCACTCACCATTCGAGTAGCTTTTACAAATTGCTTGTAATTGTTTATACTTAGTTGTTTGTGGATGTCACCTATTTTATTGTATAAGTTAGTGCATAACAAGAAATGACTTTCTGGTTTTAGCCAGTCTAAACATCGATACTTGCAGAGTGTAAATATAAATATAGAAATGACTGTATGCAGAATTCCTATGACAGGCTATCATTGTAGTGGCTTCAGTTTATCTATCATCTAATGCCATTATATAAATATAATAAAAGGTAACATCGAAGCACTGCTTTATTAAGGCGACTCGGCGAATACTTAACTATTCTTTGCTTCGAATAGTTATACTAATAATGTCTTCAGATGCACCCTCATCATGTTAAGTGGAAAAAACCAGCCAAGTGCGAGCTAACCGGCTTACACAAGAAGGATTCCGTACCATTAAACTATAAAAACATATCTTGGGCAAAAAATCATATGTTGTATGGGAGCCCTACTTAAATATTTTTTACCCTGTTTTTTAGTATTTGTTGATATAGCGGCAACAGAAATAAATCATCTGTGAAAATTTCAACAGTCTTATTATCACGCTTCATGAGATACAGCCTGACAGACGGACAGACAAACAGACAGCGAAGTCTTAGTAATAAGGTTCCGTTTTACCCTTTGAGTATGGAAATCTAGGAATGTTAGTTCAAAATATATGCCCCCTGAATGAACAATGTCTCCTAACCAATACGTTCTCTAGAAGGATGTTTCGAATTAAAGTCTGGCCATCACCCGCTAAAGATTAGGCTGGCCAGGAACGCAGTAGCATCATTATTAAGTGCGTTTTCTTTTCAATTCCACTATTCTAGCAGAATGGTAGCGCTTTTCTTGAACTTATCTATTGCACAACACTCGAACAGATCCGGCAGCAGTCAGCACCGACTTTTTTAATTTTTTTTATTAAGAACTGGCCAGCACTTGACTGCCATCCCACCTAAACGTATGTGGCGATGTAGCCTTTGATGATAAGCGCGCTAGCTCAGTAAAAATCTATTCACTCTTGCCTTGAAGACGCCTACGATGTTACTACTATTAACACTATTGAAAACTGAAGGACTCCTTATACATGGTCATGATATACGTATATAAAAAATGAAAATTTGTCGATGTATCACGTCAGAGACATTATAACAGCTGTAAGGAGAAATCCCAAACCGGTAAACTGAAATATTAAAAATCATGATGTCTTTTCTAACTCACATCATTACATGATTTCATATGACTTGGCCTAAAGGTCCTTGATACCGGGCCATAAAATCCAAAAAAAAAATTCATGACATTAAGTTGACATTGACAGACATGTCATGTCGCAAATCAGATCAGGAATCGGTTTTATAGTTAAGTAAAGATAGAAGTCGGATTTTTTTGAAGTTTTTATTTGCCTATTACAATTTTAATGTGAATATTATAAAATTGAGAATTTTAAGAACAACTTGACATTGGCGTAATTGTGATAACTCACAAAGCAAGCCATTAATAAAAAGAAGAAGAAGAAGATCAGGAATCAGGATCACAATCTGCACTCGCTTTAATACATTAGTCATTATTTATTTCGTTAATTTTTCTTTGCGAGACATTTTAATAAATGAACTAGGTCCATTAAGTATGGACATGGACCTTATCAACAGGATTTTTGAAAGAATAGGAAATTTAACAAAAAACGGTATAGTATTTAGTTCTGAAGTTCATATGCATCTGATGTAAAATTATCAATTTTTAATTTGAACCTTATTTCAGATGAAAGTACAGAATTTATACCAGCTTTAATAAAAAATAGTCAATCAAACCAAGACAATAAGCACAACAAAGATGAAATATTTTTTTCCCTAAAAACATTTCTCAAAAGAATTTTTAAAGAAATTGATGATCTATCGTTGTGTATTACAAATGATAATACATTACTTATTAGTGTAAAAAATCAAAAACTCTTGAGGAATTGTTTCCAGCTTATAGTATCTCTGGGTATATCACCATGCCTAATACCTGGATTAGGTGTAAGTCTGTCTAAAAGATGTACATCAGCAATGATATTGTGTACACTGAATCTGTCAGATATGCAAAAATATGAATTATTAGTTGAATGTACAGATTTCTTTGTTCGAAGTTATAGCATTCCTGTTTTGAAAAACATTATAGTGAGTCTCCATTTATCAGACTATTTAGCTGCATTAATACAACTGTGCTTTGCTCCATTGAAAAAACCTGGTGTTTATCCAGAATTCATTATGACTCAAGACTTGTATGATGACTTGAATTCAAATAAAGAGAAATATACCAAAATATATGAGTATTTAGTCAACAACTGTTTCCAGCCGATTCTCATGAAAGAACTTTTGGTTTTACAAAATGTCAATGACCATACACCTCCACCTTTCGTTCAAAGGGTAATTGCCAGAGAATTAAGTAGGCGTCTCACTGTACCTGGAGGATTGTTAAGTTTAATAAGGTGTTTTATTGACAATTATAGCATAGATACAGGTGTAGAGTGGAAAAAAATTGACATGATCTGCAAGGTTGTTTTAAAAAAACACGGAAATCAAAATGAAATGGAATATCTTAAAAACATTTGCAATCAGCTGAAGCAGATTTTGATTTTGAATAATACTAGTTATTTGACAACTGCTGTTGCATGCTTAATAGCTTTAACAGAAAAGTTTCCAGATTCAAATACAGTGAAGTCATTAACTGTAGAAGTTTTTGAGTCATTAAATTATGAAAATCTTACATCTCAGTCATCATTACCTGGAACAGTTTTGTTTACTCCACAGGAAATTGACCATAAAATACAATTATTTCACTCTTGCCTTGCCTATACAAATCAAGAAACAGTTATCAAACTGTTATATCCAAACTTACCAATATTGTTTTTACTCAGAATTAAATGTAGCTCTGCTGAATTAAAAAAGAAGTTGAATGATATCTTAATGAAAAGCTTAGAGCATGTAAATAAAGATGAAATACAAACTCTAATAAAAACATTTCTATTTGGCAAACATGAATCAAGCTCATCCTGTATTACAGTAGAGGAATACAATGCAGGTCTTATAATAAAATCAGTTAATATTGGAGAATCAAGATACCCTATGGATGACTCCCTTTTCTATTTTATAAAAATGTTTAAGGAATCACCAGATAACTACTTTGTTGAAGCAGTGCTTGAAACTTCTCTGCAAACACTCATTGATTTAAATACTAAGAGACGGAAAAATATGAGTGAAACTATATTATCTCTAAATGATGAACCAGTTTTACTCAATGATATAGATAAACAGTATGTCAATATTCTACACCTATTATCTGTAATCTGTGAATCCCCTAAAACAAGTGAATTTTTAAAAAGATCTCCAGAAATAGTTGTTAATTTCATTGAATATTTTCTTAAACATAACAAAACAGACAGTGAGTGTGAAACTGTAGCTTTAATTCTATTAAATACAATTTTGCCGAATTTAACTGATTCCACTGTGAGTATTAGATTAAAGAATTTAATTCCGACTTTACAAACAATTTCCAATGATGAATTGAATTCAAATACCATCTTATCTAAAGAAGCAATATCAATGATATTGAGTGGAAGTGTTGATAAAATCAATTCAGCTTATGAAACAGCAGTATCAAATATATTTGATGCCTTGCTACCCACAAGAGCACATGGAATAATAGAACTTACAAAGCTCATAGATTCTCAAGACACTGAGACAATTTCCAAGCGTCATTTCGTGTTTTGCTTACTGCAGGTAATTTAAAGTTGATATAATATTTAAATGCATGTCTCACTAAAATAATATAGAATTATTCTTGCGATTTCTGTACTTTTAAATAACAATTATAATATGTTTCAGGCACAATTGAAAGACAACGATTCTTATGTTTATTTAGCTGCAATAAATGGTATTGCATCTTTAGCCATGTATTGTACAGAAGATGTGTTGACTGTGTTATGTAGAGAATTCTTAAATTTGTCTGTACAACATGTGGACATGGAAACAAAAGAAAGCGAAAATAAAATGTATGAATTACGAATAAAAATTGGAGATATAATAGTGAAAGTAACCAAAAGGCTTGGTAAGTTTATATACTGTACCTTGACTGATGTTTTTGCTTTCGATTTAATCATTTTGTATATTAAAGCTTCATTGAACATCTTACTGGATAGCCAATACCCACAAGTAAGGTAGTATATGATTGTTATAAAGTACAAAATTATCATTTGCAGGTGACATGTGCATTGTTTACAAAACTTTATTACTGAACACAATGTTGAGCGCTTGTAGAGATGGTGATCCCTTTATCAGGGCCTCAGCTCTATCGAACTTGGCGGAAATAGCTCTAGTTCTTCATTACAGAATTGGTTCAATCATTTTTGAGGTTTGTATGCATGTTAGCTATTTTAACATATAAATGATAATGTTTTTTCAATATGTGAATGGCTATCGTGATATGGTATGCACTTCAATCGTTGTTACGCATTTAAGATTAAGATAATAATAAAACAATTTTTCCATAGACCGTAAGTACAAAAATGCTATGTATTATGCTTTTTTTTTGTTTAATAATTAAGTTAGTATGCATTTGAATTTTAATTTAAGTGTATTATAGTTTTTTAGTTAACCTTAAGTTTTATTGTAGATAAATGAACAAAAACTCTCGGCGCTGCGGGATTCAAACCTGCGTCTACTGGTTTCGCGTCCCTTAATTTTTTTTTACTATTTACGAAAAACTGCTCCGGTGAAGAATTCCTCGAGAATTCGTCCACCTGCATAAATGTCATTGTAGAAAACTAAAGAAATTCATAAAATAATGAAACCGTAACTTTTCTTTATTTAAACACTCATAACTCGTCATCATTAAAATTACCAATCGCGTTGCTACCGGCGTTGATATTTAAAAAATTTTACAATATTTCATGAGCACGTCGAGACACTAAACTACGAATTATAAAATCTACGCCCTTATTCAAATAAAACTTATTGAAAAACTATGGTAGTGAGATTAATTTTGTATACAAAATAGCATAATTGTAGTGCTGTGCCTGCACGGGTATACTTTCACGATTTTAATTTATCATTGGTTTCATATTATTATTAAAATTTAAGTATCTCTATTACTTTTTCTTCTCTTAAATCTCCCTGTGTATGTATATATATATTTGCATTTACTTATAGGTTTTGGTGTGCGTTGGAAGCATTATAGAAGCGGACAAGGCCGTTGAGTGTAGAAGAGCTGCTGTTATGGTCATTTCGAATTTGCTTAAGGGCCTTGGCAAAGAGACATTAGTTCAGTTGAAAGAGAATCTGCTGCCACTATACAAAACACTAAACAAACTGTACAAAGACGAAAACGAAGATCACGTTGTTAGACTTCACGCGCAAATTGCTCTCGAGGAGCTTAACGACGTTGTCCGTCAATTTTTGTTCCCTAAATTGAGCATGGAGATGCCCATCACACTATCAGAAGGGGCCAAGGAAATAACTTACAAATAAAATAAATAAACTTTTCATATTTATTTGTCACACTCGTTCTCTTAATCTAGTTTATAAATAAATTACAATATAATAGGGTGATTAAAATATGCTACCTTTGTATGGCAATCGTAGCATTTCTTAACTTGAATGCGAGACACCGGCCGCATGTATAAAATCTCATACACAAAATCTTGTTCAGTCAGTGACATCTTATAAAGCACTCTTAACGTTCCTGGCGTAAATAGCTTAATATACAATTCACCAATCGGCCGTGTGGCGGGGGAGTATAGCGTGCAGCTTATAAAAACACAATGTCAATTTATCTCACGCTTCAGAAGTATTGTCGCCTTCGTGGCTTTTCATCGTCGGGCCCTCGTCCTTTTCTGATAACGTGATAGAGTATACAGAGCCCCTGTCGGAAAACCGATCTAGGTTTCTTCGAAAAATGCTGCTACGCATCGATGACATTGTTGAGACGGAGACATTGTCTCCCTCCGTTCGGGGCACCATTTTCCATATTAGCAAGGCAATACCGCCAAAGGCTGCGACGACTAAGAACATCACCAGTGAAACCTCGCCAAACACACCTGCAGTAAATATAAACCTCACATTAATAAAACCTGGTATTACATCTAACTAACGAGCTCTTTAGTAATACTTGAATGTAATAATTTATTATTTTTATAATCATTTCATATTTATTAAACATTTTTAATAATAATCATTTTTATTAAACTGTCCTAATTTCAAAACTAATCGAGAAAAATAAGTTCTTTATAAAATTGCATGAAACATTTTGATGATAGGTACTCAGGGCGTCAATCGATAAACATTGGTGATTTCTTATTTTACAACGTACTTTGTTGCATTTCTTGTTTACGTGCTTCCAGCCTCGCCGGCTGTAGATCGTTGTAGTCCATGTCCTGGTTCTCATAGGGCTCCACGGAGCCGATGGGTTTCGTTTCATGAAGCACGTCTCCTGGATTGGCCTTTGGCAAATTGATTCCCGCCCTAACGGTAAGCGTTTCGGGTTTGTAAGTGCACAAAACTAAAAATCTGAAAATAATGATCTTATAATTATCTCGAGTAATTTAAAAAATTTGGAGAACAAGTAGGTACTAAAAAAAAAAGAATGTGTATAATTTAATGTATAGTAGTATTTCGTATCAAACTTACCGACGTGTACTGTGAGTTAGTATGGGCAAGTTTTCTTGTACGATGACGTATGTAGCGACCGTAGTTTCATTTACATCGGAGCCGCACTCTTCGTGGTGTATGCGCAAAATGTACGCGTCCTGGGCACTATTCGGATTGCCTTGTATAGAGCAACGTTCCGGCCCGCCATCTGCTGCCTCCACAGCAATGCGGCCGCCAAAATATGGTCCAGTTGAGACCTCCACTTCACTAGCGTGAGGCAAGCATTGTGTCGCTCTGGCTGAAACTGTTACAATTTCTGTTAGTTTCCATTGTTAATTTTATTGACATCTTTTTTAATACATAATAATAATAAGAACTTGGATCTCATACTACTTATATCGTCACTTTAAAGAGTTAATTTATAATTTCTCGTGCGACTAAATCGACGACAATACAATTCGTGAACAAGAAAAGTTTGATAAAGACCGTAGAAGAAGTTTATAAGGACGACAATATTAATGAGTACGAATGAAAGTAGATTTCAGTGTTATCATTCTGTCTCAAATATGATAACTGATAAAACATAACGAAATCAACCTAATAATTGTTTGATTCCTAATGTAATTTTTTTGACAGTCTAACAATAAAAAATCATATCATCCTTTTAGGTACTTAATTCATTCTTAAAAAGTCGAATTCTAAGAATGGTTACGTTGTAGTAAGATTGACTGTGCACTGACATCCTTTCGTAGGCACTATGATGATTTTGGATCCGATGGAGTGCGGGTCGGCTAAATCGCGAGCATCACGCTTTACTGGCCGCACTTCGAACGAATACGTAGTAGCCATCCGCAGGCCTTTGATGTACGTGCTGTATGCGCGGCCGCGGCGGGTAACGCCAGGCTTTGCAGTGGTTGTCGTATCCGCCGGCCGAGCCCTTCCCGATTTTTCCTCCTCCAAGTCATCTACCACCTGGAAAGAAACGAAGCTAATTTAAAATATCCAATAGAAATAAAGTATAAAGACTATCTATCATCTACTATCTATCTATCATCGTCCATCTGCTCGTATCTTTCCAAATCTTCCCATTCAACAACATTATTTCATGTGCCGACATAAAATCATGTTGTTGATGGTATTCGCTGCGATTTTTTACCATCCACCACCTGTTCTTATCCCCATGGGGCTTTAATTTTAGGAAAGTAAAGTAACAGCTTACATATAACATACAGCGTGTCGTTACCACCACGACAATAAATGAACACACGTTTAACGCTACTTGCCAATAATCATAAAAAATGTTAACGTTAAAAAAACCCATAATTAAAGAAAAATATTTTTCAAACAAACTAATTAAGTAAAAAAGAAACAAAATTTGTAACATCCTATACAACAACAACTGACTGATTCATACATTCAGAGACTTTTTCATTCGTTGCTACAGCGTCGCATTACAAGCCTCTCCTTGTAATAGTATGTTTTGTCTCTTTTAAATTCATTCAAACCATTCGTATGCTTTGTGACCTTTAAAAAAAATTCTTTGTTTTTGAAAATTTAATAACTCGGTAAATTGATGTTTAAAGAATGTAAATCTTTAATAGAATTTTAAAAAGGTATCCTCTATTTGTGTGCTCATTTATTGTTGCGATTGTAAAGACACGCTGTATACGTCCCTCCGTTGTCACCTTTGGCTTTAGGGCATAGCCTACGAAGCGGCCCTAACGCGCCTAACTGTTTTTTTCACGCAAGTATGTGGGAAATTGCTTTTAACTTTGCATCACACATCGTACTAGTTGGCAGTGGTCATTTTTCATTCTGAATAATGAAAAATTCCATGAAAAAGCCTGCCTCCCTTCTCCACGCCCATATTCTATTTTTGGAAAATCTTTAATGAGATCATTTTTTTAGTTACGTGTCCATTTGGAAGTTAAATGATAAATTACGTAATCGAGGAACCTACATATTGGGAAGCTAACTGCGCTCAGCAATTTTCGAGTATTAGATATCTTCTGCATGTAATGAAATGATGAATTTAGATTTTCTGAACTCGTGTAGTTCAATACGCATTGCACAAATACTCATAAAGCATAGATATAAACACTTTAAAGCTCAAACAAGTTGTTCTTTGTTCCTACAGCAAAATCCTAGTCATTGATGTACTTATGCACGCTTGAAAATGTTAGAAAAACATCAAGGATGCGTTTAAAACTATAGCTGCTTTATGTAACAAAAATATTGTAATGCCTCGCCATTGTTTAGAAGAGCATTCTTTTTCCGGGGGGTAAACCACACATAATAAAAGGCATTAAGGTTGTGGCAAGCGGAACAGTAGTCACGTCACCGTCACGCTTTGGCGCGCCAACCAGGGCCATTATATCCCGTTTCAATGTCAGATACTAAACCAGGGCGTCCCTACCGATCGAAATGCAGATATCTCAATTTGTTCCGTCGATGCCTGAGAACCGCAAGGATTTGCGGTCTGTATCATTAATTGACTAACCACGTGATTACCGGTGAAGGAAACCTAGTATCTAAAAATATTGTGAAACAGGACATATATAATGGTCATAGATAATAATAAAAATATATATCCTTATATGGCCCTTTTTTAAATCTCTTCAATGTTTAAAATATGATGTAAATTATGACTGATGCGTGCTATAATATATCTTAATACTGCGCGGGTGTCGTCATGACATCAGCTTAAACAAGCCGTACGAGATATGTATATTTGGTTAGATACTAACGGTATTGTTATATGTACTAAAACAATACCTTCATGTGGTGATTACGGAACCCGTAGTTGTTTAATCTTAAAATATGTTCCAGTGGTTCTGGTTATTAGAATCGCAATTATTATTTTACAATTTTAAATATATACTCTTTATTAACTTTACTTTTACGTCTTGTAACTTTACTTTGTGACTTGTATGAAATGTAACAGATTTTTTTTTGTTTGTAAGCCTCGTGCCATAATTATGGACGTATGAAAGTTTTGCGCGATCGTTGATTTAATAGTGCACTCTTACAGACATGAAAGTACACTTTCACCTCTAGGCTTCACGGCTGCAATATGTATTACATTACATCGCTGTAATATACTATTGTAGCCTCGTGAAATCAGTGGAAAGTACATCGATCAGTGGTACTTACTTTAGTGCGACACCGGTACTGCCCCCAAGCCTGCAGCTCGCAATAGTGCACTTGGAAGGCGAGCACCTTAGTCCGCTCGTCATCAGTCCCGTACTCCCATCGGAGACGTACGTCGCGGAAGTCCGCGTCGCCGATCAAATGCAGCACCTCTGCAATTCAACACGCCCTACATTAGCTAAACACGTCCATTGTCACGCTTAAACACTTCGTTTTCCAAAGCTATTTGTGTAATTGGTTTCCTTAGCCCGCGAGACGGTCCGCTGCGCAGGCGGTTCGCCGATCCGTTTGTACCAATAACCCAATGACTTGTTCACTGGGCCATTCTGGTAACAACTACTTGCGCAAGATGCAGTTTGCCAACATAAGAGTTAAATGATACACCGTGTGTAGTTTGATAAGACTCCGAGCTAAGTGTACTTCTACGTTCTTACTTAAAAAATGTGTAGTAGTTGTAATGTTAGATCAATTCTTCCATGAAGCATAAACTGAATAATTAAAAGTATTTTAAATACTGAATGTTCTGTGAATTGTTAAATAAACAATGCACACCCATAAAAAAGTTTACGATCAGTTTGAAAAATTTAAATAACTTTGTGGATAACTAAAAATAAAATATAATGAAAATAGCCTTCTCTTTTTGGGTTTTAAATCCTATTTTTCCATTAAAGTGTTGATTAAAATAATAACAAAAGGCAATTTTAACATTGACGAAAGAAGGATAGTCCACCATAGAAAAAGCACGTAGAGCTAGTGTTCCAATCCTGTATCGTGACCACTTTACAGATACTACGGCATGGATAACTTAGCCGACCGACTTCGCACTGATCTCAGTTCTGACTGCTGCCCAAAAACTATATCATATTACGTAGAGATCCGGTGATCCAAAAATCAACGGCTCTCAAATAAGTGTAGGTACTATATATAAGTGTAGGACTTCAGAATTGCTTAAACCCTGCTGGATTACGATGAACGAGTTCTTGGCGAGCCCCTCTGAACTCACGGAAACGACAGTGATAGAGATTGCAGTAGGCAAAATGAAGAAGAAGAGGAGAAAAACTGTTTTAGTTTCAAAAAGTGTGACATTATTGTTTAAGAGATATAAAATAAAATCGTTTACTTAATAAAGATACATTTTTGAAATATATCTCAACTTTGGTTAGCGATCGCAAACTTTTTTTGATGTATGTATGTACTACGTATTAACCGGTTATAATGTCATAACGCGTCTAACGAGGAGGACATAAATCTTTGTTTCATATTTCGTAAACAATGTTCCTTAAACAACCAATTTATTCACATATTATACATACAACAGATAAACTTATTTTTAAATGATGAGAGCGTTCTGAAACGGTCAAAATGTTAAACAAAAAATCCAGGCGCCGATGACAAAAAAATTAAAATTCAATTTTAAGTGCTAACTCACCACATGCCTGTTAGTAAAGAAATACATTGTCAAATTCAATGTGGTAGTCGGCTGCTAATGACTTACGGAACTTGAGATTTGTATCGCTGTCTTGACAACCAATGGCGATATTTCTCTTCTTGTGTTGATCCAAATAAGTTCAACACCTTCCTTTTGCAGTTACTAATTTGTGAAACAGTTCTCCTATCAACAACATCAGACCGCCAGCTTCTTTATTGTTATATCTCTGATATTGCCTATGATTAAGCGTTTTAATACCTTGATGATACGTTTATCCATTCTGTCTACATTTGTCATTCATTTTTCTTCATTAACCCCCGAAAAAGGGGTGTTGTAAGTTGGACGTTTCTGTTTGCTTCTCAACGAATGATGAGGTATTGTTTTCGTTGTAAAACTGACGTAATCGAGATGGTCCTTAGCTATAAGAACATTATGCATATCATTTATACAAAAGCCACAAAGCTCGGTTTTAGGTTTATCTAAACGTTAAAACTGTACTTCATTTTTTTATCGTTCGATAGAGCTACTGCATCGAACTCAAAGAATCGTTGCTTTTTTTCTTTCATAAATACTATACTCCATTATCTCTAAGCAACATAACATAGCATACGACATTTTAATTTGAAAAGTATTATTTTATTCGATCTACCTAGTCAAAAAGGTCATAATCGAAAAAAAGGATCACAGAAACTGTTGTTGGTTATCTCAATCTGTACATAAAAGTGAAGTAAAGTTACAGTCTATACGTGCCCACTGCTTAAAATATTTTCTTTATTATTATTCCGAAATATGCAGGTTTCTTCTCAATGTTTTCCTACACCATTGAGCACGTGATGAGTCAGCACTTAAAATTCCAATTAACAATTTCATTGATGCTGACATTTTAACTCAAGTTGCATTTAATTTAATGGAGCGCAGGGACAGTGATCTATCGCGGTTATCTATAAGTGTTATGGAAATTTTTAATTTATGTAACAAGTTCTAATTTTACATATCAATATATTTACAATGTTACATTACTACGTACGCAAATATACATACATAATATAAGTACCTACATTGTGATAAGAATTTTCCATAACCAAAATAGATTGTACCTATTATAAAAGATTTGTATAAAATCGTATATATTTGTATAAAATGTGTCAATGTTGTAAATAACATAATTTCACAGACTGATCGTTCGAATACTTATGTTTGGGACTAACCCAGTATGAAGATAAAATGAACTCATATCCTTGAATATTTTCTGCCTCAGATATATCTATTAATATAACGTTTATATTGTTTTTTAGTTAGCTCTTTTAAAAATGTTAACCTATAATAAAATTAATTAAATCCCACCAAGCAGTATTATTAACTGTAGCATGTTCGACTTTTTAGTCCATAATACGTAATCAACTTTCTTCGCTTAGCTCCATATAGATGTACCGATTACGCTGAAAGTGAAAGGCTACCCCGTGTCTTTGTTTACAATCATATGATTTTTTTAGTCTAAAGATTCATCAGTGTTGCCATTATTACAATTTTTCTAATGGAAATTAATATTTAATAATATAGACTTTGCTATAGTATTAGGAAGATTACTCCACGAAAAATTGGATGATCTTTATTACGTATTATCTTTTAGCTTACTATTCAAGGACTATATCACGATAGTCGACAAAGTTAGGTATTTATTCGCAGCACAATACATAACGGATGTAGAAGCGACATGCGTAACGCTTTGGAAAGAGGAAGTACCTAATAATTTTGGACACGGTTCACGGGTGGTTACGGATTGCACTAAAGTGATTTACATGTGATTGAATGTATTATTTTTTTCTAAAAACAGACAAAGCAATGGCGGGTTAAACATGTCATTTAACTCTTATTCAGTGCAACACACGAGTAGCCTTTAAATGTGCCTTAGTTGGGGTTTTCAGTAGATTTGTTTCGGCACTTAGGTAGCACTGTAACGGCAAGGTGTGATACCGAAACAAACACAAGAATCGGAAAATATTTGCTGCTGTTTTTGCCAAACTAAAGTTAAATATTTCCGTTCTCATTTCATAATATGGCAATAATACCACCTAACACACTGTATTCTTCTGAGTCTGAGACCCTGGGGTTTGTGTAAGAAACTATTAGCAGATTACACGTTAGGAGCATCATGGGTAAACGTTGGTCATACAGAAATACCGTGCGGTGCACCTGATGAGATGTCAGTTCTGTGCATGTAGCCAAGTGCATCTTTTACTGCAGTCAAGAGGTCTACGACGTCGGCTATTGTGATATAAAATCCTATAAAAGGTTGCGGTATTAACTCTTGGAAGGTTTTGAATTGGCTAGTATGAAGGCACAAATCGTTGGTGATTAAGACGACTAAGCGTAAATTAAATATGATTCAAAATGCGATGGACTGAATGAATGAAAACCTGCCACTATTTCCTGTAATCATCTCGGGCAGTATCAATCTCACTATTAAGTAGTAATTTCATTATTTCCTGTAAGTCTCGATGGTCGGCTTCAACGTCACTTGCGGACTCACAAACGGACACTACGGCAAGGGCGGATCCAGCTTTGGTACCAGGGGGCGTCACGTAGTCGTGGTCAAATGATAAGAAGTTATAATTTAATTTTTTATAATCATAGACACAAGTAAAAAGTAGGTATTTTTAACCTACTTCAAAAAGAATTTTAATAAACATCCGAATTATCAATTCGGATGTTTATATTTTTTTATGTATGTTCGGGCATAACTTCGTCATATATAAACGGATTTGCAAAATTCTTTTTTTGTTCGTAACATTTCGTTGCTTTTTATTATCATATATTATACAGGGTGGATTTTATAAAGGTGCCCAAGTTCACACAGGAGGTTCATACTCGGTAGTTTAATCGTTTAAAATTTTTTTAAAAATTGGTATTCTATTCCCTAAAAAACAGTACGATGACAATGCGATAGTCATTCATAAATGCGTCGTATATATACTTTTGGATGGATACACTTAGACAAGCCTCGTGCATAGTATTTTTTTAAGTAACTATTGGTAGGCTTTCTTATTTTTGAAATTTCTTTTTATTTATTTCTTCGTTACCAGATTTTATGTAGTCGTATATTATAACCAAAATAATATTCTTCAATTCCTCTACTCCGCACGCTGGATCCACTTCAATGACAAGTAGCATAAGACGGGACTGTGGGGATACGGGTTAATAATAATATATGATCAACCCAAATGAAAACTCCCAAAATAGCCGTACACAGAAACTAAAATTACATCGTCTACGTTAAAAAAATGTTCATAAGTAACAAAAGAAAAATATTTATTCAGTCATTCATTCTCAATATTCAGCTCATCCATAATTATAATCAAAGACAGAATTCACATTCATAACAAACTGTACGAACAAACTTTATTTCCCAAAGATGGGGTCGCAGACTCACGTCCACTGAACTCTCACCACCCATCAAAAATGGTCCAAACTCGACGCAGTTGTGTTCCTTAATTACTGAGTTCCTATGGCCACATTCCAGCTCTGTCATTAGACCCTGGTTACCATCTAGCGCCAAAGAAATCGAAGACGAAGCAAACGAGCCGAAACTCGATGGGGTTGAGTCGTTTCATTACAGAGTGGTCATAGGAACCTCACAGAATAGCCTCATAGACCTCACAGAAGATTGGCGTAAAGTACTTCTGCGTTTTGTCTGGTGAGTGAGGTAGCCGGAGCCCACTTTAT